TTGACTCATACTCACCTGCTCTCTGGGTGGAAAGCTGTAAGGTGTCTTAACATACACACGGTCGGTGTCCGGTGGACTCAGAGGAAAGCAAATAATTGTATCAGTCAGTTTGTTTTACAGTTATCCAAAGAGGATTGACATTTGCACTTATTATACCACCACCATTGTTGAAAGTTGACAACATATCAAACTTTCTGCTTTTTAAAATCAACTAATCAACCAAAACACATTGGAAAAGCTAAATACAACAACTGATAATTGTGGGACTGCTGCCGTCTCAGAATCATTCCATCCCTGAAAGCGGTGACCTATTTTCAAACAGGCAGGAGTAAGGTCTTCACTGACCATGGTGCTGCTTTCATGTTTTCTTTTTATCTTGAATATGAAACGTTACCGTCAGACTAATATTTACTGGATGCTATACACGCAACTACTTGTCAAAATAACTATAATACATGTAAATGTTGACATGTAAAAATATATCTGAATGGATTTTAAGGGAATTTCCTGTTACATGTTTTAACAGATTGTACACGTCTGAGCGCGACAATTTTTGGCCTACCACATTGCCGTCGTGAGTTTGCTGCTTATTAGATGAGGAGTCATAAAAGGTCAAATAAATAGCCTATTGTTACGTTTATTTTGGCCAAAAGGCTTGCATGTAGCCCATTAAAAATTATATAAAAATATTGTTTCAGAAAAAAAATCACTAATGCGCTATCAAACTATGTCTTAAACATTCAAATTTAACGTAAAAAATCTTCGCAAGTTGTAAAAATATAAATCCGTCTTTACCTGAACCGTCATTTCCATCTGGTGTTGCAACACGCATGCGAGTTCTCTTGTCTTCGAACATGCAGGCGTGGTTTGTAGGGGGCGTGGTTTGTAGGGGGCGTGGTTTGTAGTGGCAGCGGCTGCAGCTAGACCTTACTCGAGTGGAATTCCGACAGTACTCGTCGCTGGGCTGTGACGTCATCCATCTCAAAATGCCCTCTTACAAGCATCCTGCCCACGGATTCGGACACACCCTTAGACTCGCTCTCATGTATTTTAAACAGATGTTTAGGGTTATACGTTATGAAACTGCCAACACTTTTAAACAACTGGGCATCTTTTAAGTCATTTACTACATCATTTCGATGGATATTTCCAGATTAATGGTAAAAATGACACGTTGTCACTTTAATGTTTATTTTTTTCTTCATTCAACTTTTTTGGATTTATTGTAATCAGATTACTTCAAACATGTTTCGGCTGGTCTGACGGTTTGGTTCTTCATTATCAGAGTAATACGGAAGAGGGTTAGGGCTGAAAAAGAAAAAAGAAAGGCCTTTTCTGAGAATTGTTAGTCACGATTCTCTTTTGTTTCCAGGGGCCCTGATCCTCTTGCACAGATTTAAAAGGTCTTGATTCAGATCTGCTCCGTCCCTGCTGGACCTGGTCTGTGTGAGCCTGGAGGAACTGAGCTCAGCTCCAGCTTGGTTTGGAGAGCCTTTCCCCTAAAAAGCTCAGTTTGATATCTAATCAGGTTCTGATCAGAAACATTTAGGTGTGATATCGTCCAAGTGTCACAGCCAAAGTTTCAGTTGTGCTCGTAAAAAATGAGATAAAAAAGACAAATACGTCAAACTGGTTTTATTACTGCAGTTTATTACAACATCGGTTTAAACAACACGTCTTCTCAGCTACAAAAATGCACTTCAGTGTGCTAGTTTAAAACACGACACAGGAAATGGGACAAGTGTACATAAACGTCATCGAGTGCTAGAGGTGAATGCGTCTACAGCACAGAGCCTCCAGCATCCCGTTGCTGCTCGAGCCCTGCGGCGAACAAACACACTCACAATACTGAACACATTCCTCTCTTCAGGGTTCGTGTCAGAAGACCCGGAGGGCCCAGGAGCCGGCAGGGGCCCCGGAGGGTCGATGAGCACAAAATAAATAAGAGACCGAGATAAAGTGTTGATGCGTACGTCGGTGACTAGCGCCTGAACTTCCTGTGCATGTGTTCATTCAGACATACAGGCAGAAGGGTGGGAGCTATCACCCAGCATCATGCTCCGCCCACATTCACACACACATCCTATGATCCATTTACAGCAACGTGACCTGGGATTTATTAGAGGTAGGGTTTGTCCTCGACCACCCCACACACACACACACACACACACACACACACACACACACACGGAAAATAGAAAAATAGAATAAAAAAATCTTAAAGGTCAACATGGAAACAGAACCAAAGAGGGACGTGAGACTACGTGAGATGCTCTTGGTCCGGTCTGTGGAACGTTCACAGATCCGTGTTTCTGCGTTAGCACCAGACTTGTTCCCTGTTCCTACCCAGCCTCGGTCTGGCCGATCCAGTTCCTAGAACTGGCTCTGCCGGGACCTGAAGCTCAGGCTGGAGGTTGCTACATCCGTTCAGCAGATGTCAGCGTGACCACTCAGAGTCACACCGATCTCACACACACTTCTAGCTGCTAACACCTACTTTAGAAATGCTTCTGTAAGAATGACAGGAGGAGGGGATCCTAGCGGCTGCGAGGGCGGACCTGTAGTTCTGCGTCGTGTGTAAAACCCACTGGTTTGTTCAGAATCAGCCAAGAGCTGCAGCACCTCGCTGGAACAGGTTTTTGCAACAGGACGAAATTTGCACCAACACCTGGAGCTTGTGACTTTGAATACAATCATATGACTTCCTGGTTAAAAAGCATCAGAACGATGCCGGCTGGCAGCTTCTCGACGGCGGTTGCTCCCCTGGTTCTGCTTTGTGCTCAGAGGTCACGGAGAAGTGCGCTCCTCTTTAAAAGTGACCCAAAACCCTTCGTAGTGCTGAAGCCTTTAAAGTGTTCAGATGTTGCTGTGATGATTTGGCTTTAGCTCAAACACCTACTCTAGACCCACATAGAAGTAAATAAAATATCTGAATAAATACATTTATGCACCAGATTGTCTCCGCCTCATTCCTACATCTCATCCTGTCGGAGTTCAGTGCTGACGATGCACCCATGCGTCGGACTCTCAGGTCCAAACTGAGGAGTAAAAGTGTACGTGAGCAGCGGCCCGCTGGAGCCGGACCCCGTGGTCCAGTCAGCACCACGGCTCCAGAGCGGAGACCCTGATGGGACGAGCGAACGCGGCGCAGAGAGGAAACGGCAACACGCGCTCACCGGCGCTTCGTAAACGTACCACCGGTAAACCCAGGTGTTCAGCTGTGGCGCCTCTCTGGAGGGAGGGGGTGTACGATGGCAGAACTACTGAAGGCGAGCACTACCACCATCCACACACACACACACACACACACACACACACACACACACCCTCGTAAAGCGGGCTGATGGCGACACCGAGCTGTCCAGACAGTCAGGCACAGATCCAGATGTGTGAGTGTGTGTGTACATTGGTCCGTGTCTGCTAAGTTCAGGAGGCGGGGTCTGACTGAGGTTTAGCCTCCTCTGATTGGCTCTGGGCTCGCTGCCCGTCTCTGCCCAGCTCCTCCCCCAGCTCGCCCATGTCCATGTCCAGCAGGTCCTCCTCAATGGGTGCGGCAGCAGCGTCCTCACAGTAAACACACTCCTGCGCAGACACACACGTGCACTTAGTGACCACTCGTCCCAGGCTAACCTGAGGGTTACCTGTGTGCTGCTCACCTTGATGTTGATGGCTGAGGGGAGACCCCCCCTCCTCATCCAGGGATGATCTTCCACCAGCTCTCGCCGCTGCTCCGAGGTGAAGTGAGGCTGACTCTTCTGCATCTGTCTCAGCCTCTCCTTGTCCTCTCTCAGCACCCGCTGAATGTCCCTGGGAACAAAAACGCACTTTACACACCTGCACCAGGTGAACAAGCATCAGAGCCCGCTTCAGATACGGTGGCTCCAGTCGGATCCTCACCTGGACGGCATCTGATATGTCATCATGACCTTGTCGTCAGCGTTGGCCATCAGCAGCCAGAGGGGCTCCTGGAGGACATACTTGATGAAATGCTCTCCCTCCCCTTTGGTCTGAGCCTTGCCACCATCAGAGACTCCTTCCCCTCTCATTTTAGCCTTCCCTCTGGGGTCGTGCTCCAAAGAGTCAACGCTGCCAAAGTACTTGCTGGTGTTGCTGCTTCCTGAGGACATTGGAGGAGGAAAACCGTCAGCGGTTATACTTCGGAGCACTGAGAGCATTGAGGCTGCTCTTCAGCTGACCTGTTCTGCTGCCAGAAGCTCCACTGGCTGAAGTACGACAGGCGTTGGAGCCGGAGCCTGACGCTGAGCCCGACCCCAGGCCGGATCCCATGGACCCTGAGGTAGCTGATCCGGTGCCAGAGTGGGCGTCCTCCTGCTCCTGTAGAAGGATGTCCAGCAGGTCACAGGAGGAGGAGTTCCCATCGCTGTGAGCTCCATCTCCTCTGGACTCCAGCTAAAACAGACCAGACACTCATTCAGACCCTCTCCAGCAGGATTTAGATCTGGTTACGCTCAGAGGTTCTCACCTGCTGACGACTGTCAGTCTTAGCTGCTCCTCCATTCTTCTCTGCTGCTGCTGACGCTGCAGCAGCGCAGCCACCCTGACCTCCAGCGGGAGGAGCTGCGCCGTCCTGACGCTGCCCCTCCTCCATGCTCAACAGGTTGAGCTGCAGCGGTGAGCTGCAGCGGGACTCAAACAGTGGCGGTGATGTGGTGGGCTCTCGAGCCCCAGACGCTGGGGTGGAGGATCGAGATGCTGCACCCTCTCTGGGCTCCACGGCCGGGGTTTTGGGGAGCTCGGAGGCGATGGTGTAGGGGAAGGGCTGAGCCGGATACGGAGCCTGAGCTACAAACTGTGTCTGCACTGGGAAAGAGGATTGTCCAGTGAAGGGCTGCTGGGTGGGGTAGGCCGCCTGAGGGGCCTGGAACGGCTGCGCGGTGGCGTAGGGAATCTGAGCCGTCTGAAAAGGCTGCTGAGGAGAAAAGGCCGTCTGCACTGGGAAAGGCTGCTGGCTGGTGAAGGAGGGCTGCGGCTGCATAGGGTAGGCCGGCGGTGGCGTCTGAAAGGGCTGCTGGCTGGAGTAGGCAGGCGGAGTCTGCGTCTGCTCCGAGAAAAAAGCTGGTCTTGGTGCAGCTCCCAGCTGCCCTACTTGGGGGAAAATGGGCAGAACTAAAGCCACCACAGGTGTGACGATGGGTGCGGGGTATGGAGCGGCGGCGGGAGGAACCTGGACGTTCTGTCCCTCTCCAAAACTAGAGGACAGAGACGGGTCAGGGCGAGGGGCCTGAGCCGGAGCAGCGGGGGTCGGCGGGTAGAGGGGGTAAGCAGGCACCATGGTGGGATAGGACACGTTGAATGCTGATTGGGACGCTTCAGACGGCGACCACGAGGTCTGATTAAGACCCTGTAGGGGGGGGCGGGGTTTGCGGTTGGACACAGCGCTGTCGGAGGAATCAGGATGCTTCATGCGAGGCTTCTTGGACTTCCTGTTGCGGTTTCCCTTCTTGGCGGTGGTCTCCGGCCTCGCGGCGCCTTGTTTAACAGCGACCTGTAGTCCAGATGACTCTGAGACAAACACACAGGTACACACAGCGTTAGTGGTGATGTCATACAGACTGGTCATGTGACCACGGTAAACCATTCTAATATGGATGATGAATAACCAGCAGCGAGCTGGTGCTGGAGCCACCTGAGCTCCGATGGAACCGTAGCTCCGCCCCTCCTGCCGTACCTTCACCATTGGCCGGGCTTCTCTGACTGTGCAGATACGAGGAACATTCCTTCTGGAGGCTCCTGGCGTTCCAGAGCTCTCTGCAGCGGTTCAGGAAGGCCTGCTCCTCTTTTTGCGTGTGAGCCGCCAGCACCTCCTTGGTCAGACCCAGCCTCTTGTAGGCCTCCTTTTCCTGGCTGGGGGGGGGCACCATACTGACTGGAACAGCGGGCGGCGCTGGGCTCTCTGCTACATCTTCTATGATCTCTGCAGCACAAAGAAGATGAAAGTTAGACTCCTGCTGGTCCCGCTCTCAGCTCTGCGTGACTCCAGGGGAGCAGCTCACCGGACTCGGGCTGAGGCTTCTTGTCTCCCACGTGGACGATGGTGCTGCTGTAGCTGCACTGTGAGGTGATTGATACGATGCTCTCAGCCTTGCTGGGCAGAGCGAGGGGGGCCAGCGTGCCCCCCACCACAGCGGCTGCTCCGGACGGGGGCTTCTTAGGTGCCTTCATGTTGGACATCCCCGGCTGAGGGTCCAGCATCAGTGCATCTGAACGAGGACAGGAGGTCAGGAGGTTATGACCTATAGCACTGAGGCTGAATGCCAGGATGTGCAGGTGGCTCGTACCTGCGTGTGTCCCTTGAGGAACCTGCATCCCATCTTCTGAGCCTCTCTTGTCATCGTCTGAGTTGGATGAGGTGGTGTTGGAGGAAAACTGGTACTTCCTTTTCACCGTGACGGGAACGTTACAGCTCTCCAGATACCTGAGCATGACACGGGTTTGTTAGCGGTGGGGAGTGGCTCGCACCGTTACCTCTAGTGAGCACGGGGACTGACCGGATGACACTGTCGAGGCAGCTGATCTGCTGGTAGGAGCAGACCGTCTGGTCTTTGCAGACAAAGTCCTCCGTGCTGGCTCCGGCGCCGTCTCTGACCGAGTCCTTCAGACGCAGCGCCGAGCTCCTCTGAGCCGCTGCAGGGACTGAACAGGGAGGAAGGAGAAAACATCAGGAAACGGAACCAAAGATCTCACTGAGTAAACAGATTCATCCACAAGAACCCGAGAGAGCGTCTCTCTGCGTGCTAGACGAGTCCTCTAGCTGAATCTGACAGGACTTACCGTCAGAGGTCCTCCTCGGCTCGTTCTTGGGCGGCCATGGTGAGGAGGACCGCATGCAGACCTGAGAGTCCTGGTTCTTCAGCATATGGACACCTTTACAGATTTCCTGAAAGGTCCTGGAGGGCTTGGTCTTGCTGGACTCCTCTGCTGCGTTTCCAGCTGTGATGTTCTTGTTGCTTTCGCTGGATGAGCTGATGCTCACCTGCTGCTCGTGGGAACCGTTGCTGCCGTAACCGCTGGAGCCCGTGTTGTGGACTGGCTGTGGAGAGAAGAAACTGTTAGTTTAACAGTGTGTGTGTGTGTGTGTGTGTGTGTGTGTGTGTGTTTACACACTTGGAGTAACAGTCTGTGGATTTGTTCACTGATTTCCTGAATGTCTGAGTCCATCATCTTCCCTCCATGGAAAGCAGGAGCAGCAAAGACGTCCTCGTTGACGGGGTCCCTGGAGGACACGGAGACACACGTGTCACCTTCTTCATGGGACCTGACAAACCAAGTCTTCAGCTAGAGTCGGCTCGGTGGACATACTCACATGCGTACTTTGTGCCTGCCGATGACGAAGGAGACCTTGCGGCTCCAGGGGTTGACGAAACTGGACCAGCTGGTGTCGATGGTGATGTACTCACCGTTTCGTGCACAGAAGCGGATGGAGGAATGGTCGAAGGGCTGGCCGGCATACTGCAGAACTACAAACAGGAGCAGTGAGGAGAGATGTGACTGAACTCCTACGCACCGAGCAGATGAGGGGCTCCTTACTCTTGCGATGCACAGCCAGCATTAGAGGGCGGTCACTTGGGTGCAGGTTACGCAGGATGGGGGTCCCGATCAGGTCCTGGGGGAGGTAGCCCAGCAGAGGCACGGCCCTGTCACAAACACAAACATGAGGTGAACACAATGACGAAAGCTCCTAAAGGGTCCTTCAGAGACTCCACACACCTCTCGTCCACATCCTGGAACACACAGTTAGGTGTGTGTGTGGTCGTGAAGATCCTTTTGTCAGGAGGAATTCTGGGAGCTGGGAGAAGAAAACGATGGGATCGGGTCATTTGGCTTTCCATAGAAACGGCATGAAAGGACAAAATCCCTGAAAGCATTTTCTCACTAAATAAGAGATCAGTAAGAACAGATGAACACATGAACGAGCTGAAACTCCTCTACAGGGCGAACGCATCAGACACGGCTGCTCTTTATGACCCCAGGAGGCTGATCCAGGATCAGACTTAAACCCTTCTGTTCATCCTTACAGCTAGCGGATTGTTGTAAGCTCTCACCTTCGTATCCGGAGTGCACCCGCTCAGCCAGCAGGAGGCAGCAGAACTGCTCCTCAGCCAGCTCAGCATCCTGCACCTTCATCAGGTACGGGGTCATGCGGAACGGGTAGTACTGGAGGTCGCCCTCACGCTCCTTACCGCCGCTGCAGCACACACACACACACACACACACAGGTTATCAGCTCAACGCGACACAAGGGAGCCTGAAGGCTCATTCAGGTGGATTCAGGTGCGTCTCTGTGGAGAACCACACAGGTCATCTTATAAAAGCTCATGTGAAGCTAGAGTCAGCCGACCAGTGAATAAAGTTTAGCTTTCACCACTGAGAGACGTTTAAAGATGTGGTTCACTCGTTTAGGTACAACGCTTGCAGTGCTCTTTAGTAGAAACAAGTACCTTAAAAGTAGTACTCTGGGCGGAAAACGCTAGGGATGTGAATCTTAGAGCAACTCACCGTTTGATTCGATTCTCAATTTAAATCGATTCACAGTCAGTACTAACAAAGCGTGTGGGCTCCAGGATGAACTGCTTTGTTGTACAAGTCGGTTAAAGAAGCTACGGGACATTTTTATTAGACTTTAAACTGGTCGTGCTCCAAAAATGCTAATCTACAAGGTAAACTAAAGCGGTTCTAAAACTGTAAACAGAAACCATCTTCTGACCGAAAGGCAACATTTATTTTTGTTTACCTTGTAAAATATAACAAATCTGTAGTTACCTAACAGTAACTTTGAAAGTAATAGTCAAATACTTTTCAAGTATGTGTAGAAACAAGTTACATGAGTAATCCTGAGTACTCATGTATCAACTTAGAAAATAAATATGAGAATATCTCTCATTTCTGAGTATGGAAACAATGACATTCAAGCGCCCTCTTATCAGCAGATTCAAACATGAATCGTCTCAGTTTATGGGAGCACAAAAGTAATCAGAGTACTGACTCTCCTAACAAAGATCACAAAAGTGCATCTCAGACCTGTAACGTGCCAAATATTTCAGTTCTTGGAATCGATTCTGAATCTTTGTGAATCGATTCTGACTCGTTATAAATAAGAATCCCGATTCAGACTTGAATCGATTTTTTTCAGCACCTCTAGAAAAAGCAGCCTCTGGAGTCTTATTTCCTCTCCTCTGATTGGCTAACAGCAACACCACTCTACCACTGACTCTGCTCTGCCATGTTGATGTTTCATCTCCACAAATAACACATGCCTGGAGGAGTTCTGCTGTGTGGGGGAGTTGCTAATGCTAACAGTTAGCTTCTAATGCCGTTTCCTGGACGCTAAACCAACAACAGCCTTCCTCGTCGTGAGTCCAGGTGGGTGAGTCCATGAATGTTAGTGACAGGGTGACATTGATCTGTCAGGATTTTCTAATCCTAGAGTTTCACCGTCTGTTTTCTGTCAGAAGCTAAAGCAGGAGGTAGGTGTAGGAGACTATTTTCATGTTCAGCCTGCATGAAAATCTCAGAGTGACCCTTAATAATCAGAAATAATCAGTAAAAATCATTCTTCAGTGTTTCGCACCTTTTAGACTGTTAGTAAGCTTGTAAGTGCATAAGTCCCACCCACATCCTTCCTGCCCTCTCTGCCACTGACTCAGCTGCTCTGAGCAGGAGACTAGGATGAACGAAGAGGAGGGACTCCCTCACTCACCTGATGCGGCAAAAGAAGGACTTCTCCTGCATGCACTCGGTGGGAGATGACTCTGGACAGGAGAAAGTGGGACAAACGTGATTAAGTTTGTGTTTAAAACAGTTTAAAGTCCCAGTAGTCACCACACACTGGTGAAATGACATCTCAGCATGTGACCTATCCCCGCGGGGAGCTGCAGCAGTGGCTGCGACGGGAGCCATTTGGTTTAACCCCCAATTGAACGCCTTAAAGCTGAGTGTCGAGCTGAGAGGCATTGGGTCCCATTTTTAAGTCTTTGGTATGACCCGACTGGGATTTGAACCCCCGATCCTCCAGTCCCACAGTGGACACTCCTAGACTCGGCCTAGTATCAGACTATATTTGGGGTGAATACAGAGACGTGGGGAGGCATGTGATCAGTGTGTGTGTGTGTGTGTGTGTGTGTGTTGTGAATGACACAGACACTCGTGGACACACAGGCGATGGAAGGGGTGCTTCAGGTACCTGCTCCGGTGCACATGCTCCAGGAGGGGAGGCGGTACGGCGTGGTGAAGCTGTAGAACACGCTGACATCCTGAGGTGTCAGGAACTCCACAAACTTGGCGTTGTTGAACACTTCCCGCTTACAGTTCAAGATGGATGCCGCCTGGTCTGAGATGTAAACGATCCTCCCGGTGATGAGCGACACGGCCACGGCAAATATATCCTAGAAAGTTTAAGGAGCACATCGTGATAACCAGCCGTGAACGGATCCCGCAGAACAACAGAGTCAGAGAGGGTGCTAGTCACAGAGCTGGAAACGTGTTTCAGGTCCGTTTAGATCAGAGGGGTTATTCTCCCGTTTGTAATCGAGTTCTACTGATCCAAACTAGTTTGTGTTTACTAACCCAGAGGGGGCAGCTATCAGATTTCCTAGGAGCTCCTCTGTTTCAGGCTCTCAGAACCACTGTCGGGATGTGAGTAGGGCTAGCCTAGTGAACTAGCTTTGCCAAGTTTGGTCTAGGAACGCTCCACTGGAACCTCCGCAGCCCCAACAGCATTCTGGCTGGCCAATCACAGCTCTCTAGAGGGGCTTCAAACACATAAAGAGCTGCGATTGGTCCATAATGGTGGGCCAATCATAGTGCTCTATCTGCTTAGTGAACAAATCACAGAGCTTAATCTGCTTTGTGGGCCAATTAGGGCACTCTATATGGCTGGTGGGTGGGATGATGCAACAGAGTGAAACAAGATGGCGACAGCTCGTTAGAAACGGCTTCTACATCCATGTCGGACTGTTAGATCTTGGGCTTCATTAGAATCAGGAGCAGATAGATGGATTTAAGAGCTTTTTTTAAGAAAAAAATATGTTTTCTCCTTCTTCAACTGCGGACCGCCTCATTTACCGATGGCTGTTGCGGTGAGTTTGTCACATTCATTGTCCAGTAGCATGCGGAGATCATTTGAAAGACAACGGTAGAACCCGCCCCACAACCGAGAGCCGTCAGTGGAGCGTGGCCAGACTAAATAACACATTTATTTAGTCTGGCTTGCCAGGCTAGAGTAGGGTTGCAACAATGACACACTGAGAAATAATCATGATTATTTTACATGAATGGATTTCACGTTTGTACTAACATAAATAAATCACACATACTCTAGATTAAAGTGCACGATTACAGTCTCTTACGGTTGAACCGCTGAGGAAGTCTACTGCTCCTCAGAAATTCTGCTTAGAAAAGTTCATTAGTGAAATCTAATGTCTGTAATTTTTACTTTACAGTTTAAAACTTTTAAAATGCCTTCAGAAGGGCTGAACACTTATTTCACCAATACATCTGCAGTGGTCTTTAGCAGCAATGGTTGTCTTGCAAGTCGTACGCCAGTGCACCATTTTCAGGACATCAGTAGTTTAAGTGTCTTGGTCGGGATGGAGACATGCAACGCCATTATCCGTCCTTGTGAGGGCTCTCCAGCAGAATCGCAACAACAGACGGAGTCCAGCTCTCTTTTCTAAACATCCGTCCAACAAGGAGAACACAAGCTCGGGATTGGTCGGGACGCCGCTGCCGCCATTGCGGCCTCATAGACATAAAGAGAGCCGCAGATATCTAGCGGCAGACACGCGGCTTGAAGAATGCGTCGCGGAAAAACTGTAGAGATATGAACGTTTCATTCACCCGTGAGTGGAGGAGTGAAAGGCGTTTTATTCGTGGATGGAGATTAGGAGGAGAACGAGGGACAAATCTGTCAGTGTTAAAAATCTCTGAAATACAAAAAGACACAATAAGCACAAGAGTAAATGCTCTAACTAGGACATATCATACCCGGTTATTTTCAAAATAAAATGCAACGTTGCGATGTTATATATAACTTACGTCAGCACGTGTGACCGAACGGCTTTGTTTACCACCAGTTTCCTTCGAAAAGTGCAACGGTGCGATTCCTCGCGAATGTTGTGATCTCTCGATGAGGAAGGTGTCAGAAGTCTCGAGGGATTTTAGAATCTCGCGGGTACAGCGAGGCGCGGCGAGGAAGCCGTGCCGCGGCCCAGACTCTCCCGGTGTGAAAAGGACCGCTTTGAAGTTCACAAGCGAGCCGCTCCGCTGATGCTTGCAGTGTGGAACCAGGGTCAGAAGTTAGCCACATCCCTTAAATCCCGATATGTGGACATCTCTCCTCTGATTGGCTAACAGCAACACGACTCTACCACTGACTCTATTTGCTCTGCAACGTTGATGTTTAATCTCCACAAATAACACAAGCCTGGAGGAGTTCCGCTGTGTGGTGGAGATGCTAAAGCTAATGGTTAGCTTCTACTAGCGGAGACGTTCTCTGCTGTTTCCTGGACGCTAAACCAACAAACGGCCTTCCCCGTCGTGAGTCCAGGTGGGTGAGTCCATGAATGTTAGTGACAGGGTGACGTAGATCTGTCAGGATTTTCTACTCCTAGAGCTTCACCGTCTGTTTTCTATCAGAAACTAAAGCAGGAGGTAGGTGTAGGAGACTATTTTCATGTTCAGCCTGCATGAAACACTCACTTATAATCAGAAATTATCGTCGTCGTCTTCCTCCGCTTATCCGGGTCCGGGTCGCGGGGGCAGCATCCCAACTAGGGAGCTCCAGACCATCCTCTCCCCGGCCACCTCCACCAGCTCCTCCGGCAGGACCCCAAGGCGTTCCCGGACCAGATTGGAGATGTAACCTCTCCAACGTGTCCTGGGTCGACCCGGGGGCCTTCTGCCGGCAGGACGTGCCCGAAACACCTCCCCGGGGAGGCGTCCAGGAGGCATCCTGACCAGATGCCCAAACCACCTTAACTGACTCCTTTCGATCCGGAGGTGCAGCGGTTCTACTCCGAGTCCCTCCCGAATGTCCGAGCTCCTCACCCTATCTCTAAGGCTGAGCCCGGCCACCCTACGGAGGAAACTCATTTCGGCCGCTTGTATCCGCGATCTCGTTCTTTCGGTCTTTACCCAAAGCTCATGACCATAGGTGAGGATTGGGACGTAGATCGACCGGTAAATCGAGAGCCTGGCTTTCTGGCTCAGCTCCCTCTTCCCCACGACAGATCGGCTCAGCGTCCGCATCACTGCAGACGCCGAACCAATCCGCCTGTCGATCTCCCGATCCCTCCTACCCTCACTCGTGAACAAGACCCCGAGATACTTAAACTCCTCCACTTGAGGTAGGACCTCTCTCCCGACCCGGAGTTGGCAATAAGAAATTATATTTAAAAAAAAAAGATTTTTCAGTGAACCACACCTTTAATTATATTTGCCCTTTTTGAGTTTCTGTAAACAGACATAAAGGTTTAACTGCTGACATCTGCTCAGGGTTAGCGTCGAAGGACGGAGACTCCTTAATGACTTAAGATGCTAAATTCCCACTAGTGCAGTTGTTATTATGAATATCCTTAAATATCATTTCTACGTGTTTATATAATTAATTTTCTAATTTCATCAGTAAGAATATAAGTCGGACAATGATAAATGATATTACTACTATGCTGAACAGGAATTACAGAGAGGTGTTGTTGATTAAATGTTAAGGTGGCTTGCCATACAGCATGTTGTAGACAGATACAGGGGAAACGTAGAATGACACTACTAAATTAACCCGTTCACTCATTATTCTAATATGACTGTTAATCCGTTCAGTCACTAATGTAATCTGACTCAGCTGGAGATTATTTGTCTGTGTGATAATCTCAGAGGTGACAACAAGTTGGGAGCGTCGCAACTTTTTTCTGCCAGTTCTGCGGACGGACGAGACGCCGTTCTGAATTTGTCCTTTAGCAGCTTTGGGAGTCTAAAATATTCCCTCACAGGAGACTGGAAGCACTTCCTAGGTGGAAACGGAGCGGCCCCGGTGGTTGGTGATGCTGGTTCTGTTCGTTCTGGCCCGCTAACGATTCTTCTTACTTGCGGAGTCGGAGACGTCTTTACGGTGGGTCAACCGCAGCGTTTCACACCGTGGTTAACAGCCAAAAAGGTTACCCCCGGCAACCCTAGCTGTGAGGTACTTACAGTGTTCTTCAGGGTGTACTCTGAGGTGATGGTGTTGATTTCCTCTATGGTGTAGGAGGACACATCAAACCCTGGAGGCTGGCTGTCATTAATCATCAGCATCTGATAATATTCTTCATTGGCTGTGGAATGAAAGCAAGGTGGATCGGTCGGATTAGTTTTATATCATTTCATTTGCCAAGACTTGAAAAAAGGGCTTCAAAGTGCTGCCGAGCCTACCTTTCACCTGTTTGATGCACCTCAGCGCGTACTTGAGCGTGTTGACTGTGTTGGACTTGCCCTTGCCTCTCTTCTCCACAGGCAGGTGCATCTTCAGCTCCTTCAGAGTCTTGAAGAGCTCCTTCTGAGTCTTGGCTTTGGCCGACTGCTCGCTGCTGCAGGTCACCACAGAGAAGAGACACGCGTGTCAGAATGACTAGGTCTAGCGGTTCGGTCGTCCTTCACTCTCGGGACGTTAAACGTGGGGGTGAACTACGGGTCTGGCTCTCTATGACGTTCATCAGACACCTCTCTAGAACTAGACGGTGGTACAAAGTCTGCTCTGAACTCTGCCTGCAGTGAAGAGCAAAAAGCCCGCTGACCTGCAGCCGCTGGAGGAGGGGTTGTCCTGCTCGGAGCTCACCAGGCTGAAAGCGTTGGAGCTGCTGGGTGGGGAGGGACTGTGGGAGTTGGAGCTGAAACAACAAAACATCAGAGTGTTAGAAACGCTGTTTCTACTCATTTACGTAACTATTCTCTCTACTACAGAGGGAGCCGAGTGCTACTGCAGCTCCCAGTGACTGATACGTTACTGAACGTTTTATTTACAGATGAAGCAGGAAGACACATGCAGTCCTGAAGCTCTGATCCTTTAGGAGCTAAAGACGACTGATCTACTGTGAGCTCTGCCAGATAAAGGATGCCCACAGCTCCTTATTCCTGTTTTAAATGATCCTGAGCACTAAGCGATGAGAGTGAGAGCTGCACGGACACTAAAGGAATAAAACAATCAGCTAAGATGTGAAAGGACACGTCCTTTTCTCTAGACAACAGGATCACAGACGCAATAATCAGAGAAAATCCCAAGAAGTTGATTTGATCATCATCAGGACCGCCTCCAACTCTACGCTTGGGCATCGAGCATCGATTGGAATCTTTTCCAGCTGTTAGTTTTTCCCGGAATCGTTCAAAGTTTTTTATTTAGATTCCTGGTTTCCATTCCTAGAGTGCCGACCGGAAGAGGAATCCGCGGCCGATCTCCGTGAAAAATAAACGTGGTCTGCAAATTGTGATCGACGTTTTTCAGAGCTGATCTCACCAGCTGTGTGTGTGCAGCGCCGAGGCTGCTTCCAGACTTTGGTTGTGGTCAGAAACAAACACACGGGTTGTGCTGCAAGTCTTTTTCTTTTTCCCTCCAAAACATGTTTGTGTCTAAATGAAGGTGATGTTGTTGTTCATAGAGTTAAAATTCATGTTGAAGTTAAGATTATTTCATCCAGTAGGACCTGTGGTTAGCTGGCTCGTGTAACGCATGTCATGTCTTCAAAGAATCGGAATCGGGAATCGATAGGAACTGGAATAAGGAATTGGAATCGGAATCGTTCAAAAGAAATGATGCCCGACCCCATCTACCTCCACCGTTGTTAAACGGGGAGTCAGAGTTATGGAAAGAAGTCTTTACTGAACCCAGATGGGTCTCACAGGCAACACGGCCTTCCACCATGCAGACTTCTCTTTTCTAGATGAACATTTTAGACGTGGGAGTTTGTGAAAAACAACCTCTGTGAACCAACAAAACCAGGGTTCCCCCAGCGCCTAACCAGCTGCCAGGCTAAGCATCATGCCCCGCCCCCCTCCCTGACCCTACCGTGTGCCCCCCCCCCCCAGCCCGGCTCTCACGGAGGAGCGCTGTGGGACGGAGCGGCGTTTTCATCCCAGAGATGCCTGATGTGACACCTGATGATGAATGTGACCAGTCAGGCTCGTTAGCTCCAGGATGCTCTGCTGCAGCTAAACACGTCTAAACTCAGACACACGTTAGCTACACCGAGTCGCTGGACTTTATAAACCCGCCATCTTTAGTCTGAGTCATAACTCATAAATTATGACTGCTGTATTTGTCAACAGCCAATCAGAATGCCCCTACTGGTAAACACCGAAGGATTAGATGATTATTCACTAATGAACGGTACGTCCACCACCCCCCGTCGAAAGAGAAAGAACACAATTTCCCAGAGTTCATTGTGTCTGAGCTCGCTCACCTCTTGTTGCTCCCTGAAGACTCCATAAGAGCAGAGTCCTTTCCGTTGCTGGTGGAGCTGCCCACGGACTCGTTGCCATGGGACTCGTTGCCGTGCGACTCGTTGCCATGGGACTCTGTCCCACTCCCACTCGACCCGCTGCCTCCCATCTCTACATCCTCATGCAGAGGTGGTCGTTGTCGCTTCCTGTCGCCGTGAGGGGAACCCAGTGAGGCTGGATGCTCATGGCTGCTGTCGCTGCCCTCAGACGCCAGTCCTAACTCGGGGACCAGTCCCCCACCATCCTGCCCAGCACAACCCTCACTGCAGCTGCTGGCCATGCGGTGAAGTTGGCTCAGAGAGCCACACAGTGGGTCCTGCTCTTCCTCAGCCCGGAAGCCAACCCTTTCCTGGTTCCGCTCACAGGCGTCCAGAGTGGGGTAGCGGTACAGCTGTGGGTCACCGTCCTCAGACATCAGATGAGCCAACGGATGCAAGGTGAGGTTACTTTCCACATGACAACGCCAAAAGCAGCACGGCACCGGGATAGCAACAGAACCGCTGTCTCAGGAGGAGAGGTGGAGCCTGGGGGAGCAAGCAGGACAGGTGGGGTTAAACTAAGACACCTGTTCCTGTCCAGGTAAAAAACAACATAAAAGGTAGAAGAAATCAATATGGATGAATATTCAACAGCCCTCAGCTACAGCACACACACACCCTCTGTGACAGGGTTAACCCTAACCCTGCATGCCATTGAAGTGTCTTCAGGGACAACAGTACCAACAGAACCTTTGACCCACACCCTCCTCCTAATTCAGCGATGCTCTGAAACCTCGTTAAATGATCCAGTCGTCGCCAGTCCTCCAGAGACCCCGATGACCTTTGACTCGTTGGAGGAGTGAAAACCTGCGAACTCACCTCTGGGAGGGGGGCGGTCCCTCACGTCTTCATTAGGTAATACCTCCACACACACAGTGCTTCATCCATTCATGCAACATCCATAGCAACAGCATCATAACACACTACGCATTCACACCCTCCAGCGTGTTGGACCGGACACACGAAGCAAACATGAGATGACTCATCAGCAGAAAACTGCTCCTATTCCTTCTCTAGACCTGAACTGATAAAAATAAAAGCCTCCTCCATCTCCGCCTCCCGGGAATCACAAGAGCCGGGTTCATTTACGTCCAGTAAGATAAAATAGAAAAATACAAACAAAACATTTCAACCATCTCCTGCAGTCCTGTCAGGCTGCTGCTTTACTCGAGTAGTTTTATGTAACTTGTAACTTTTGCAGAGGGATTCTGGAGTTTTTAGATGCGCAGACGTCTAAGAGACTTTCCAGCCACCCACACATCCTCCGCCACCGTTCAAGATAACCGGCTAGCAAGTACAAGGGTGGAAATAGCCAAGCTGCCTGCAGGACTTTCTATTGGCTGCTGCAACAAGCCAATCAGAGCGGAGGGCTTCAACAGTTTAACACAACGTCGGACATCTGAAGGGACACTCCTCAGAGACATGCATTACCCTCACTCCTTTACTGTAGGACCTACAGGGAAGTCTGCGTCTCGGTAACTACATAACATGACAGTGACAGCTGTTTTATTCCATAGCCAGCAAACAAAATACACCAAATATGTAAAACCTGGTTAACTTGATGATAAAAGACGTTTCCACACAACATTTATTTAGAAGAAGAAGAAGAAAATATCATTTCTACGGCGCCTCTCAAGATAAAAATCACCAGGCGCTTCACAAAAACAAAAAATGTAAAAATATAAAACAGAATTTAGAAATGATTAAAAATATATTTAAAATTAGCAACAAAAAATAGACAACTGTGGTTAAAAGTGTAAAGAGAGAGGGAGGGTGAACAGGAAAGAGGGAAATCAGTGGATCCAGAGGAAGGTGGAACAGGAGAGGGTGATGAAGAGTTAGATGTTCTCAGACCTGAATAAATCTAATAAATAATAATAATAAATAAATCTAAATAAATCTTGTATCACCATGGAGACCGATAATAAGACTGTTTCCATGCCCTCAGCTCAGAACCAACCTGTAGAAGCTCATCCGAGTCCCTCACAAGTTCAACTCACCAACCAGGAGAATGGCTCTGAGCTCACCAGAGATGATTTCTTCCATCAATGCTAACACAAATACAAGCGGACACATTTACCCAGCAGCTACACAGAAACAAGGATGCTTCTGAACGGCTGCAGCGGCTCTGAGCGTCTGAAAGCAGAGCGACATAGTGACATAATGAAACTGAGCTGCCTCTGCTTGGGCTGAGCCCAGTTTCAGAGGAGGCTGATAGAGCCAGCAGCACACTAGCACACATCTCAGCATTATACAACCTGGCCTGGCCCCGGTCACATGGATGCTGCCATAGTGGAGCACAGAGCTGCTGGCCTCGTTTCATAAACCACACGCTTCCTCCTGCAGCTCAGCTCTCCTCAGGGCATTCTCTATGTTTATGTTTGTTTATTAGGCAGACGCCTTTATCTTACCATTTATAACCTATAGGGCATAAATAATGTATGTAAATAATGCAGCCCAGAAGAAGCTTACTGTACCAGTTAGAGGTGTGGTGTGAATTAAGTTTGAGTTAAGGTTAGGAATAGATCAGTGTTGGTTCTGGTTAGGGTTAGGCGTGGTGAGATCACAACAATGAATGGAAGTCAATGGAGGGTCCTCACTATGGTAGAAAGACATACGTGTGTGTGTGTGTGTGTGTGTGTGTGTGTGTGTGTGTGTGTGTGTGTGTGTGTGTGTGTGTGTGTGTGTGTGTGTGTGTGTGTGTGTGTGTGTGTGTGTGTGTGTGTGTGAGGGGGCGGTCTCTGCAGCCTTTAAACCCGATCAGATTTTAGTTGACATGACATAAATCTGAACATCTAAACACACAAATATAAACACGAAGCGTCAGACTTGAACCGCAAGTTCAGGATTCTAATCCAAACAGACTGACCGACCGAGCCACCGGTTTATTAACGAATCATTATTTACACTTTTAACACGTGAATGTTCGAAATCAGCTGAATTACGTCTAATAAAGCCACAAACATGGTTTTATTGTGATTCGGCAGCCCCCCTCCCTCCCAGCTCCCAGTGACCTGCTATTCCAGCCCCACACACACGTTGACCTGCAATCCACGGCACGGTACACTGACACAGTTATGTAAAAGTGGGCTTTTCGCCGAAAACCCGCGACAAACCCGGCCCTTCTCACCGCGGGACGACTCATTTAACACAATTATACCTCCCTCCACCTATGTGGGCCGACGGAAAACTCAAATCAACATGATTTAAGGTATAAAAGTAAAATAAGTAGAGCAGGCACGAATTTCGCGCATGCGCAAATAGCGATTTAATTATGCAACTTATTTTTTGAGCTCGCGCACTCCTTTCTGCTAAAGCACAAACGTTTGAATGGCGGGAAACCTACCTGTCGTGTCGAATAAAAACACCTGTTCTGTCGTCTTCGGCGAACAAGAAAATAAAAGCGAGCGGAGAAGAAAACATCCAGAAAAGGAGGCCAATATTCCTCAATGGGAGTATGGCTTCAGTTCGGACTGACACAGTAGGCGTAGGTTCCTCCCCCGGCTTTCTCCGACAAGGACCTATTACCCAATCAGCGAGCTCGGTGCGCAACCTCAATTCGGGCTCCTCCTAACACCTCATTCGATTGGCTGTCGGCTCAGGGTTTCCATGGAGAACGTTACGGAACGGCAAAGGCGAAAGCTCATTGGTCGGGATGGCTGTCCGTCGTTTTATATAAAAAGCCGTCCCTTGCACGTGGAATCTCATGTTGTGCGTATCATGTAGAGCAGGAGCGGGACGGTTACGACTACACGTAGCTGGAGAGTTCAGCACAGCCTATCAAGTGTTGCAATTACATAAATGAGAAAATGCGTGAGGGGAAACAAAAGACGCTACGACACAAAACAATATATTATAGAATATCAACAGAAGGTTACCGCCCACACACAGCTGGGCTGCGTCATCACAACTTAAATGTTTAGATATCTACAAAGAATTAGATACTTGTCATGATTTTTGTTAAAATGCCATCCTATCGAGTACTTATCTAACGTTTTACTTGTTAGTCTGATTATACCTTGTCATGTATACCACCAGTGATCTTCGCTTGTTTTTCTCGTTTAATTTTCTTTCAAAGCTATTTGAGATAAGATCAGCTCTTTTTGATATGGCTAACCCAACATTCTGATGTGTAAAACGCATTTATTCCTAGATAAGAGTAAAGCAGCAGATTGGGCTGAAGTCGATGTTTGTTTTTTGAGGACTAATCTGAAGAACTGATGGAGGGCATGATGGATCCCAGTCTGGAGGACTGAAATGTGTTGAATTACACATCTCAACGTGAAATATTCTATTTAAATTATTATTTGTTTTACCTGTGGCCATCTAATATCCCAGAGATCACAAACCTGCTGCTGATATAGCGTAATGGTGTGTGTGTGTGTGTGTGTGATCAGCTGAGGGTTTCCAAATCCTTGTTGAATCTTTGACAAGAAGGATTGAGGTTTGAGGTGGTCTAACAGTGTAGACATCCATCATCATCATCAGGAAGACCTACGGTTGATCCAACTGCCTCCTGATTTTATTTTAGTCAGATAAACTTGGTATGAAGATATTTATTATCCTGAGTGGTTTTATGGGAGATGTGGCAGGGTCACTAGAAATCACAAGATAAATTAAAGATTCTCAATCACATGACTCGCAGGCCCTCATTATCATGTTGCTGAAAACGGCAGCATGTTTAAAACATTTGTGACCTGTAGTTTGTTTGCAATCATCTCACATGTCCTCTGAAACCCAGCCAACACACACACACACACACACACACACACACACACACACACACACACACACACACACACACACACAGTAATAAAGAATCCTTCTCCCAAACTCAGTCATCACATTTTTTCACTGTGACTGGAGACCACACTCTGCCTTGTTACCTGACATAGAGGCACCTTATTCTAGTCAGACTCGTCTCAGCCACTCAGCCTGGCTAAAAGTGGCCCTCTAGCAGTAACAGATGCTGCATGTCTGATCCAGCCGGCATCTTTATAAATAATAATAGGAGCCACAATCTCTCCACTTAAGTTCTCAAGGAGGAGGCTGCTCCACATTCACTGGATTAGCCGCTGACTTTACAGAGTGAAGTAGGAGGGCTTCATGAATCAACCTCTTCACCGTCCCACTTTCGTTTTAAATCTCACACTTGAAGACTAAAGACCTCTTAAGATGATTTATATAAATGGAAACCGTGTTCCCTCGCTTGGACGTGGGTCACAGGGACCCCCCTCTGGAGCCAGGCCTGGAGGTGGGGCATGTTGGCGAGCGCCTGGTGGCCGGGCTTTCACCCATGGAGCCCAGCCGGGCACAGCCCGAAGAGGAATCGTGGGTCTCCCTTCCCATGGGCTCACCACTCGTGGGAGGGGCCAAAGGGGTCAGGTGCAGTGTGTGACGGGTGGTAGTCGAGGGCGGGGACCTTGGCGGTCTGATCCTTGACTACAGAAGCTGGCTGTTGGTTCATGGAACCTCTCTGGTGGGGAAGGAGCCTGAGTTGGTGTGTGAGGTTGAGAGGTTCCGACTAGATATAGTCGGACTCACCTCAGTGCATGGCTCTGGCTCTGGAACCAGTTTCCTTGAGAGGGGTTGGACTTTCTACCACTCTGGAGTTGCTCCCACTGAGAGGCGCCGAGCAGGGGTGGGCATACTAGTTGCACCCCATCTTGGTGCCTGTACATTGGGGTTTACCCCAGTGAATGAGAGGGTAGCCTCCCTCAGACTGTGATCTGTGCTTATGCACCAAACTACAGTTCAGACTACCCACCCTTTTTGGAGACCTTGGAGTGATGCTGGAAAGCGCTCCTTCCGGTGACTCCCTTGTTCTGCTGGGGGATTTTAACGCTCACGTGGGCAACAACAGTGAGACCTGGAGAGGTGTGGTTGGGAGGAACGGCCCCCAGATCTGAATTCGAGTGGTGTTTTGTTATTGGACTTCTGTGCCAGTCATGGCTTGTCCATAATGAACACCATGTTCAGACATAAAGGTGTCCATATGTGCTCTTGGCACCAGGATACCTTAGGCCGCATGTCTTGGACACTCGGATGAAGAGAGGGGCGGAGCTGTCAACTGACCACTACCTGGTGATGAGTTGGCTCAGCTGGTGGGGGAGGATGCCGGTCAGACCAGGCAGGCCCAAACGTATCTTGAGGGTCTACTGGGAATGTCCGGCAGAGCCACCTGTCAGAGTGAGCTTCAATTCCCACCTCAGACAGAACTTCCAAAATGTTCCGGGGGAGGCGGGGGACATTGAGTCTGAATGGACCTTGTTCCGTGCCTCTATTGTTGAGGTGGCTGACCGGAGCTGTGGTCGCAGGATCATCGGTGCCTGTCGTGGTGGCAACCCCCGAACCCGCTGGTCGACACCGGCGGTTAGGGATGCTGTCAAGCTGAAGAAAGAGTCCTATCAGGTCTTTTTGGCCTGTGGGACTCCAGAGGCAGCTGACGGGTACTGGCAGTCCAAGCGGAACGCGGCTCGGGTGGTCGCCAAAGCAAAAACTCGGGCATGGGAGAAGTTCGGTGAGACCATGGAGCAAGACTTCCGTACGGCTTCGAGGAGATTCTGGTCCACCATCTGGCGCCGGGGTGTGTGTGTGTGTGTGTGTGTGTGTGTGTGTGTGTGTGTGTGATACCAACACCATCTATAATGGAGACATTGTGCTGCTGACCTCTAATCAGGACGTTGTGGATCAGTGGGCAGAATACTTCGAATACCTCCTCAATCCCACCGACACGTCTTCCAGTGAGGAAGCAGAGTCTGGGGACTTTGGGTTGGCCTCTCAAATCTCTGGTGCTGAGGTCACTGAGGTGGTTAAAAAGCTCCTCTGTGGCAAGGCTCCGGGGGTGGATGAGATCCGCCCGGAGTTCCTTAAGGCTCTGGATGTTGTGGGGCTGTGTTGGCTGACGCAGCTCTGCAATATCGCGTGGACATCGGGGGCAGTCCCACTGGACTGGCGGACCAGGGTGGTGGTTCCCTTATTTAAAAAGAGGGACTGCAGGGTGTGTTCCAACTACAGGGGGATCACACACTTGAGCCTTCCTGGTAAGGTCTATTCAGGGGTTCTGGAGAGGAGGGTCTGTCGGATTGTTGACCCTCAGATTCAGGAGGAACAATGTGGTTTTCGTCCTGGCCGTGGAACACTGGACCAGCTCTATACCCTTAGGGGGATCCTGGAGGGTGCGTGGGACTTTGCTCAACCAGTCTACATGTGTTTTGTGGATTTGGAGAAGGCCTTTGACTGCGTCACTCGGGGGACCCTGTGGGGGTTACTCCGGGAGTATGGGGTACCAGGCCCTCTGATACGGGCTGTTAGGTGCCTGTATGACCGGAGTCAGAGCTTGGTCCGCATTGCTGGCAGTAAGTCGGGCTCGTTCCCAGTGAGAGTTGGACTCCGCCAAGGCTGCCCTTTGTCACCGATTCTGTTCATAACCTTTGTGGACAGGATTTCTAGGTGCAGCCAAGGTGTGGAGGGCATCCATTTTGGTGGCCTGAGGATCAGGTCTCTGCTTTTTGCTGATGATGTGGTCCTGTTGGCTTCATCAGAATGTGATCTTCAGCTTTCGCTGGAACGGATCGCAGCCGAGTCTGAAGCAGCCGGGATGAGAATCAGCTCCTTTAAATCTGAGACCACGGTCTTGATTTGGAAAAGGGTAGAATGCCTTCTCCTGGTCAGGGATGAGGTCCTGCCCCAAGTGGAGGAGTTTATCTCGGGGTCTTGTTCACGAGTGAGGAAAAACTGGAGCGTGAGATCGATAGGCCGATTGGTGCTGCATCTGCAGTGATGCGGGCGTTGTACTGGTCTGTTGTGGTGTAGAGAGAGCTGAGCCAGAAGGGAAGCTCTCGATTTACCGGTCGATCTACGTTCCTACCCTCACCTATGGTCACGAGCTTTGGGTAGTGACCGAAAGAACAAGATTGCGGATACAAGCGGCCGAAATGAGTTTTCTCCGAAGAATGGCTGGGCTCTCCCGTAGAGATAGGGTGAGAAGCTCGGTCATTCGGGAGGGGCTCGGAGTAGACCCGCTGCTCCTCCACATCGAGAGGAGCCAGTTGAGGTGGCTTGGGCATCTGGTCAGCATGCCTCCTGGACGCCTCCCTGGTGAGGTTATCCAGGCATATCCAACTGGGAGGAGGCCTAAAGGTAGACCCAGGACATGCTGGAGGGACTATGTCTCTCACCTGGCCAGGTAACGCCTTGGGATTTCCCCGGAGGAGCTGGCCCAAGTGGCTGGGGAGAGGGACGTTTGGGTCTTTCGACTTAGGCTGCTGCCTCCACGACCCGACTCCGGATAAGCGAATGAAAATGGAATGATGGATGGATCTCACACTTGAAGTCCTTGCATCAGCATCAGACCGGATGATTTTGCTGGTGGAGTGAATCATGGTGTGGGCGGACGTTTTCATTTATTTGCTACAGCCTGAGACCTTTGAGAGGTGGTCATGATTACATAAGTCATGTTCCATATCTAAAACCGTTAACATGATATGAACTCAGCTTAATTAGGACTTTATTACATCTTTAATATGCGACTCGTGTCACAAGTTTGGGCCTTTAGCTCTGAGGCAGGAGCTTCTGCACTAACAGGGGCCGGGTCAGATCCAGCCTCTGTCCAAGTGCAACATGGGAAATGTGGTTTCTGCATATGCATGTGTTACTGCAGAAACCCTTTAAAAAGCTTTGGGTCAAATATAAAAATCTTGCTTCATAATTTTTTTTGCTGTGCATTTTTTTTGTTTGAGTGCCAAAATGACAACGTCTGCACACCAGTTACAAACACACAACTTGTTAGAAAGGGAGAACTTACTTGGATCTTTGTGTGTTTGAGTTAACGCTGACCTGACCTGCAAAAGAAGTCCCACATGGCTCCAACAACTCCGATACTGACTCAGATGGAGCATGAAGTCTGGAACATCCGGTGGACTTGAAACAACCTGCAGATCATTTCTGACTGATATCTATGTTTTCTGGTAGTAAATGGGATTTCTGTCTCCATGTCCATCCTTGATGTGATAAAACCTTCTAGTGTTCAGATCTGATGGCTCAGCTAGCAGTGACTGAAAAGTGAGGGTTAAGATGCTCGCTGAAATCACACGATGTCATTTCCCAGTGAGTCGTGGAGGATGGCTGCTTATACTGAGCCAGGATCTTCTGGAGGTTTCTACCTGTTAAAAGGGAGTTTTCCACTCTACTGTCGCTGCATGCTTGCTTAGTATGAGGATTGCTGTAAAGACTCTGACACTAGTCAGTGACTCGAAGCAAATTGCTGGGTTAACTTTTTACTGATTGGCTTAATGAACTGACCTGTATTGGAATGTTTACTGTGTGAAGGTCCTGGAGACGACTCTGGTCCTGATTTGGCGCTTTATAAACAAACTTGAATTGGACTTCCTGAAGGGAAAAGGCTTTTTTGTTCAGACCGGAGGGAGAAAAGTCAGAATGAAGGAGTTTACTGACACTGTTCAGACAAGAGATGCAACCTGCCTCAAAAGGATCTTAGCCTAAACCTGAAAGCTGGTGGAGGTTTTTATTCTGGGGACTTTAACTCTGACCCAACAGCTCCCACAGATCAGATAGATCTGTGTCAGCTGAGCCTTTCCAACTCCTTGTTAAATCCTTGACTAGAAGGATTGAGGTTTGAGGTGGTCTAACAGTGTAGACATCCATCCTCATCATCAGGAAGAGCTACAATTGATCCAACTGCCTCCTGATTTTATTTTAGTCAGATAAACTTGGTATGAAGATATTTCTCATCTGGAATCAATAAAAGAGCAGAAATGAGACCCTGGATGCTGATCCTGAGTGGGTGGGCAGTCACACGACTCGCCTCCAGAGCCAACAATAACAGTCACGACGGGCAGAAATCCAGCACTGTGGAAAATAACTTTAATAAAAGTCCTATGAAAACAACGTAAGCAGAACAATAAAAGCCTGTACAGGATCCAGTGTGAGACTTCTGAAAACAAAGCCAGCAGACATCACTGTCCTCGCCGTACGCTCTGATATTGCACAGAAACAGAGATGGAGACACTCAGACGGAGCAGAGTGCTGAAACAGGTTCCTGGAACAACATTCCTGCTGAAAAACCCCGCCCCCCCAAGCAGGTCACAAACTCCGCCCCCATACACCTGTATAAAAACAAATGTGCACCATATTTGGACATTCAACTTGGAAACAGAGCAAAACATAAAACAGTAACATCTATTCAGAGTATTTCTCTTGTGTTTTGGTCTGATTGTGTGGCAGTTTAAAACCCTGCAGCCAGAGGGCGTCGGTGTCCCTTTAACACTGAGTCAGAGTACAGCTCATCAACTCAGCGTGAAGTGAAAACATTTAAATTAGGGCTGGGCGATACGGCCTCAAATCTGTTTGCGCTATAATCTGAAGCATGTGTGATTACGATATATACCGTAGTATATTTTTTCCTTTGTTTAAATGTCAAAATGACATGCTTTAAAAATCCTCATATGGAAAATATGTAGCAGCAGAATAAAGACGTGTAGAATGCTCCTCCTCCTCCCGCTACATGCTTGCAGTCACGGCCATTCTGTTGTTCCAATGTCGGTGCGGGTGCACATCTTAGTGTTAGAGCCAAAAACTTATCATTTCCCAATTTTATATCATTTCTACCTTATATCGTTTAAATTGCCCACCCCTAATTTAAATAAAGCAAAGAAACGTCTGAATTCATCTGAGAAAGATTCCAGTGTTCAACGCTCCGTCTGCGGATCAGAGACAGCGGACCGAAAGGCTCAGAGGGTCCGTAATGATCAATTCCCTCACCAGTGTTCCGTGTGGTCTGGCGCATCAGCGTCTCAGGAATACCCCTAAACCAAAACGATAAACCACGAGACAACCTTCCTGCAGATTTGAGACAGTGGGAGCAAGTTCCTGTGGCGGGGTCAAATGTTTCTGCCTTTTCCTCGGTGATCACCTGACCCATCTCAGGGATGTGGTCTTCTCCGTCCTCTCAGCAGATGGGTCCACTCAGCACATCTAATGGGGGTTCTGCTCCCTTCCTCTGGCCGACTGCTCCATCAGCTGCTGTGCAAAACGAGCAAACATCAGTTCCATGGAAATGTGTCTGAGTGAGGTCCATGTGGCACCGTGCCAGGGTGGTGCTGTAAGCAGCTGAACGCTGTCACAGCGACGCCACTCGGCACAGCAGGAGGGAATCTGCAAGCATGTCTGGTTTTAGCTGGACTCCCTTCTTTGGGCTGGGGTCTCCTCGGAACGTGGGCCCCTCCCTCATGGTGACTCCAGGTCTCTGAGGACTCACGGCAGCTCTAGGAGCGGTTGTCTTTGGCCACATTGTGAGCCATCCAGTTCACCTTGGTCGTCCAGCTCTCTCTTAGGGCTTCGTCAAATTTCTGGCGGAACTGCTTCAGGGCCTCGTCATCATTCTTCCCCAGGGCCAGAGAGTCCTGAAAGAGGCAGGAGGGGTCAGTGCTGAGGGCCTGAGGATTAAACAATAACACTTAAACATCAACACACTTCTTCCCACAAACATGAAAACTCTTAGATTCTGAAATAAAACACACCAGTGAGCAAAAACTCAGCGGGGAACGGCGGCCTAGAAAACAAAATCTGTGTCAAATGTAGTTTATGTATGAATAGTGATAATATAACACATGGTGCTGGAATAATAAACAAACTGACAAAAGTCCTAGTAATCCCTAAACAAGTGAATATTTAAAGAAGACAAGGTAGTTAGGCTTGTTTTTAGCACCCCCTAGTGTGTGTTTGTAAAACCGAAAGCTAAACCTATCTCCTCTGTCATCTTTTTAACACCTTAATCTAACAGCTGAAATGTCTCACAGCCTTTATTAATGTCTACAGGAGCAATTCATCACCTAATTAAACAAATCAGTTGTTTACATGATGTAAAACATGCAGGAATAGTGCTGGAACCAGTGCCAGGTGTGTCAGCTCCACTTTTTCTAAGTTCTAACAGAGCGGCCCGGCACTCGGAAGTTGCAAGTGGATTATTCTGACCACAGGTGCGATAGGGGCTGGGTGCTCTTTCATTAACCTTGAACTCTGCAGTCAGAGACACGAGGGTTGCCTATGTCTCCAACCTGGTGTCCCAGAGCAAAGGGAACCCCAAGGTGCTGTTTAACACCATCAGCAGCATCGTCTCTCCTGCCTCTCCTACAGCTTCCATCCACTCTGTTGCAGACTGTGAGAACTTTCCGTCTTTCTTTGTGGACAAAGTCAATAAGGTTAGATCTAGCATCTCTCCTTCAGCCTTATCGCCGCCTCTCCCGACTCCAAACAGGCCCATCATCCTAGATAGCTTTGCTCCTGTTTCTTTGCCTGAGTTAACCAAACTAGTGAACTCTATGAAGACCTCTGCATACCCCCTCCACATCTTACCCTCATCTTTGTTTAAAAGTGCTTTTCAGTCCATCGGTCCCAGCGTGCTCTCTATAATTAATGCTTCTCTGGTTTCTGGTCAGGTCCCTGCTTACTTTAAGAACGCTGTAATCCACCCGCTTCTTAAAAAACCGAGTCTCGACCCCTCTCTCCATAGCAGCTTCAGACCCATCTCTAAACTTCCGTTCATCTCCAAGATCTTGGAAAAGGTTGTGGCTAAACAACTCACAGCTGCTCTTGATGAACATAACATCTATGATAGCTTCCAGTCAGGTTTTCGTAGAGCTCATTCTACTGAAACAGCTCTTCTTAGGGTCTCTAATGACCTTCTGACTCACAGTGATGCAGGGGACTGTTCTGTTCTGGTCCTGCTGGACCTGACTGCAGCCTTTGACACTGTTGACCATCACCTGCTACTGGAGAGGCTGAGAGACTGGGTTGGCCTATCAGGATCTGCTCTGGAGTGGTTCTCCTCTTATCTCTCTGAGCACTCCTTTTCTGTGGCCGTCTTACCATCACCCATGGTGTCCCACAAGGTTCTGTGCTGGGGCCTCTACTCTTCCTCCTCTATCTGCTTCCTCTTCAGCACATCCTGAGCTCCTTCAAAGGAATCTCCTACCATCTTTATGCAGATGACATCCAACTGTACATCTCCTTTAAGCCCCATGAGATGTCTAAGCTGCAGCTGTTACACACCTGCTTAGACTCTATCAAAGCCTGGATGGTGGGAGCTTTCTTCAGCTGAATCAAGATAAGACTGAGATCCTCATCTGTGCCCCAGAGAAGCTGGTTCCCAAAGTCAGAGACACTCTTGGTCAGCTTGCTTCTCACACCAAACCTTCTGTCAGGAATCTTGGTTTGACCTTTGACCCAGCTCTCACCCTGGATTCTCATGTCAGTTCTTAGTCCCTACACCCCAGCAGGTCTCTGAGGTCCAGTGATCAGAGCCTACTGGTTGTGCAGCACCAGGCTAAAGACCAAAGGTGACAGATCATCTGCTGCTGTGGCCCCCAGACTCTGGAACTCTCTCCCCCTGAGCCTGAGATCAGTGGACTCAGTGGTCTCCTTTAAAAAGCAGCTGAAGACTCAACTGTTCAGGTTTCGGTGTGACCTTCATCACCTTCTCCTTTTGCTGCTCTCTCTACCTATTCTGCTTTCCACTGATTTTTCTCTTTCTTATTCATTTTCTCTCTCCCTTTTCATTATATTTTGTAATCACTATTTTATATTTTTTTGTGGCTGCGCAGTGGCGCAGTGGTTAGAGCTGTTGCCTTGCAGCGAGAAGGTCCCGGGTTCGCTTCCCGGCCTGGGATCTTTTTGCATGGAGTTAGCATGTTCTCCCTGTGCATGCGTGGGTTCTCTCCGGGTGCTCCGGCTTCCTCCCACAGTCCAAAAACATGACTGTTAGGTTAATTGGTCTGTCTATACCACCTTAGGTGCGCGTGTGTGTGTGTGTGTGTGTGATTATTTGTCCTGTGTGTCTGTGTGTTGCCCTGCGATGGACTGGCTCTCTGTCTGGGGTGTACCCCGCCTGATTGCCCGTTGACCGCTGGAGATAGCCCCCCGTGACCCTACGTGGTCGAAGCGGGTTCAGAAAATGGATGGATGGATATTTTTTGTCACATATTTTAATAATTTTTATAAATCTTTATTTTATTTTAATTGTATGTTTTTGTGAAGCGCCTCATAATTTCTATCTTGAGAGGCGCTACATAAAAGATTGTTTTCTTTCTTCAACCCTGTAAAAGGTCATTTTAGCACATACTGGCTCGAGACAATGATTAAATCCCTTTAAACTAACAACTTATTCATGTGAAAAGTGTTTGCTGCTTTGGTCAAATTTCCCCCATAAAGCTAAACGCTAAAACTCACACAAGCTGTTAGTGTTATGCCTACCAATACTCCACATTTAACTTAAACATCTGTTAAATTTACAGACTTATCACCATTTTTGTGCTTCAGCAGCCATCTTGAACTGGCTAAAATCCAAAAACAAATCAGGTGTAGTAATTATAAGTCGGTGCAGCCGCAGTTGCAGGCTGACAGTGGACTCCCGGCAGCATCGTGAGAAAACTCTGCCTCTCTGACCACGGCACAAAAGAAGATGGTAGCAAGGGCCAGTGTCTGGTACTGAAATAAGACTTTTTACAGGCTGCAGTTTTACTTGTGAAAGTCGTTATAAAACTTCATACATTTATTTCAAATTTACAAGGAGAAAATCAATAATAACATTTGTATTTTTTAACTGGCAGGTCACTTTATAAAACATAATTAAAGGTATTGGCCAGAGTAGAAATGCAGTATAACTACACTTTACCATCTATAGAAACATGTAAAGGGTTCAGTATTTTATTTTGTTAAGGACTTTTTTCATAAATCATTACAGAAAATCCAAATCCTCTCCTCCAGACGGTGAAGAACTGTGATCCGCATGCGTCACTCCAGCACGTAAAACAAGGTAGCTGCTGTTGCCGGTATCGTGAATAACTGTATTTTGTTAACTTTCGCGCTCTTAATTATTACAGAAAATTTGCGTTTACAGCTGCAGCAAAAGGTCTGAGCCTTACGTCCATTTTTAAATAACATAGATCTGATCTAAAACAATAACATATCATATATCTATATAATAATAATAATAACCTACATCTATAAATCCTTCTGGAACCGCACCGCGACTTCTGGACTCCAGAGTCCCGTTAGCAAGACTGCAGCAACACTGCTAACAGTGTTAGCTCCGGTAAGAAAAAAACAAGTCATTTGGGAAAGCTACAACACACACACACACACACACACACACACACACACACACACACACACACACACACACACACACACACACACACACACACACACACACACACACACACACACACACACACACACACACAGATATAATCTAAAAGATGATCCCCATATTGCAACAACAGATCCTCCATGGACCGGTAAAACCATCCTGGACTGAAAACGAGTCAAACCAACGAATTAGTTTGGCGTCAGGAAGATTTATTCTGGTAAGCTATGGGTTAAATATTTTCCAGCGTTACCTACACACAGAGCCGGATTAACGCAAAGGCAAAGTAGGCACATGCCTAGGGTCTGATTGGCTGGATGGGGCCCAGACAGGGGAACAAAATTAAAAATAAATAAATTAAAAATTAAATGTACAAATGTCCTATGATAGAATTTGTAGATAGGACTCCTATCTACAATTTATTTCAATATTTATTAAATAATTAAAAATAGTGACAATGTTTATCTTAACCATAGACCGTTTCATTGGCTACGTCACATTAAGGCGCCACCCAATTAAGGACGTCAGAGAAGCGGTCAGAGTCAGAGCGGGACACAACAAAGCTAGCAGGTGTTTTTGAGTGGGCTAACTTTCACGATGCTTTCGGGTGCGGCAAAACGTAAAAAAAAAGAAAAAAGAAGAGGAACTAAAGAAGAGACAGCGGGGGGCTTTACAGAAGTTTCTGTCGGGCTGCTCGGGCAGCCGTCCGACAGCTGTGAACACGCTCGAGTCAGCAGAGCCAGAGGCCGGGCCCAAGTCAGACCCGGAGGAGACACAACCCGAAGATGCGGTGGGATATGCAGCGGAAGACGCTGTAGCGCCAACGCCTTCACAGGACAAACTGGAAGAACAGCAGCCAGACAGAAGTGAGCCCAATATAGTCTTACAGCAGGAGCCTCTAGACCCAGAAAGTGTATTAACAACTAGCTACCCATCTGATCCTGCAGTGGTACCAAACTGATGACAGGATGCGTGAGTAATTTGCACTAAACCATCCCTCTCAAAATACTGGATATTCTTTGGCATCACAGAGGAAATCTGGAGACATAAACCGATACTTAACCACGGAACATTTCTTTAGACGTGTTTCTGCTGTGACTGAGGCCTGTGATGCTGGAAGGCTGAAGATTATCCCGGAGTGGAGCATGCTAAACGGTTTCCTTGGCAAGTGTTGCTGGTTATATTAATTATTTGTCAAATAATTTTATTAATGTTCAAATAGCAAAACAATAAGTTCACACTCAGAAAATTGACAGAATTTCTGATTCAGCAGAGGCAAAAACAGCCTGAATGAGCATAAAGCGAGATCAAAACTTAAGATAATGTTTTCATTTTATTAAAATACTTTCTTTTAAGATTATAGATTGTATTAAATTTATACTGTAATAATTTAAGCTGTGTGGTTATGGTTTGTTTTTGCGCCTTTATAACATGCTTCACTCCATTCAAATTAATCTATTTATTCTTGAATGTCTTTCCACCATCATGTGATTAATTTGTCAACATTTATAAATGTTGTAAGCTATTGCATTTTGCAGAAAATATTTGTAATTAAATGTAGTGATTAAATATAAACAGAGCAAATAAGAGACACATATTTGCTCTGTTTACATAGTATAATGACACCTAGTGGTTATTTACTGGTACCGCCTTGGCAATGGCACTCCCAATCGATAAGATGAGGATAATTTATTAGCATTTAATACAGCTGTGTAATGACGTATAAATTATTAATATCAAAAAATTGTCTGATAGAATGTTTTACATACAACACATGACTTATTTTGGCGCACAAACAACCAATTTGTAACCAAAGACTAGGCTATGTAAAATGTGAATGAACTTCTACAGTGGGGCAAAAAAGTATTTAGTCAGCCACCGATTGTGCAAGTTCTCCCACTTAAAATGATGACAGAGGTCATTAATTTACATCATAGGTACACTTCAACTGTGAGAGACAGAATGTGAAAATAATCCATGAATTCACATGGCAGGATTTTTAAAGAGTTTATTTGTAAATCAGGGTGGAAAATAAGTATTTGGTCACTTCAAACAAGGAAAATCTCTGGCTCTCACAGACCTGTAACGTCTTCTTTAAGAAGCTTTTCTGCCCTCCACTCATTACCTGTATTAATGGCACCTGTGTTATTTATCTGTAGATTACTGAATTATATTGTGACAGACCAGATGAAGCTAAGACCAGCTGAGAACTCATCAGCTTAGAGGTGAAAGCGCTGCGAGCGCAGAAATGAAAGTTTTAACAAATGAAAACAAACTGTCGGGGTCGGAGTTCGGTTGAACTTCTCCGGTTATCCAATATCCGTTCTCGTCGCCGTATCCCAGAGAAAAAACAAATGTGACCGACTAGCAGCTTCAGAAGCTACATCTGACTGATGACACGTTGTTCTCCGCTATGACGCCAGCGCAGAAACACCGGAGTCGTGGCTGTTTACTATAGCTCAGTGGGACTCATTAGGCGGCCCACGGGCCGGACCTGGCCCTTCTTTGCATTTGCGCAGGAGGGGTAGGAACGGCGCAGGTGTCTTGGTGTTTGAGAACATTTGATTTGTTTGTGTGGTGCCCCCACCCCACCCCGGACTGTGAACTTCAAGGTGGTTTTGTTAAGTGGCCCTCGGACGATTGCGTTCGAGTTCCCCTCTGTAGCCGATTCTGCAGAGCTCCTTGTGAAACGTCACCAGCTGCCCAGGGCTTAGACCGGTCCCAAACATCAGATTTAGTTAAAAATCCAAAAACCTTTTTAATCTGAGGTTTTAATACTTTTTTGCACGTGCCATAGAAAGGACTTTAGCCTCTGGCCATTATCTGTAACATTATTATTATGATGAGTACACTTTATTTTAACAGTTGACTGAATGAAAAGGACATTTTTACTGCTTGTTTCTTCTTATGTGGGCTAGTTCAGTTGTTTGAATTTCAGATGTTGTTTTAGAAACGCAGGGATTATTCTTTATTAGTCCTGCACAGTAATGATTCATGGTAACGTCATTGTGACTGCTTTATTCTGAGAAAATCAAGCGTAACCAGCCCAGCGCACGGAAGTCCACTCTCACACTTTCTGCTGTGCTAACGTGTTTTTCTACAGAGCTGTAACAAACTCCCGCAGCATTAAAACCATCTGAATGGGTTCCTGCTCCGGTCCTGAGGACCTCTACACACCTTCAGGTACTGGATGTCTTTGACGGAGGTGAGCTCTGGTAGTCCTGCAGTTAGCATGAGGGCGAACAGCGTGATGAAGAGGTTGCCGTTCCTCCTCAGGATCAGGTACGCCTCCTCACAGTACTTACGGAAGCTACAAGAAGCACAGACAAGGAAAAGCTGTTTATTGAGTAAAAACAAGTAGACAGTTGGACTTTGTAGCAGCAGCAGAAAGAAGAACCACACTACAGTTCATATTCTCTAAACAGTAAACACAAATCCACAACGCCTCATCCAATTTTCAGGTCAAAATAAAGCTCTACCCTCAAAACCGCTCACTCTCTCTGAAAACTGATACTTTACCCACACATCACACACAAATATCCTCCTGAATGCCCGATCCACCCCTGGCATGCCTCTACTCAGATGTCTAGGCAGGCTTCTTCCATGGCCTGGAGGAGGTAAACACGGACATGAGGATCTCTGTCGTACATTTTCCACCGCCATGCCAAAAAAACCCTTCTACTGGGTTTAGAAAGGGAGAGCATGCAGGCAGAAAGGTGTTAGAGGACCTTGGGTTATTGGTAAACCGGTCTTGAACCAGAGTGAAGCGACTCGTTGCTCCGCCTCCCTCATACTCATACCATAGACAAGAACATGGACAACTAGAGTGGCTCCTTGCCCTGGCTCCTCCCCTTCCATGTTGCTGTCATCCTCAACCGCCTCCACCCTGGTCTCCTAGACCTCCTCCTGCTCCTCCTCCTCCTCCACTCTGATGTCCTAGACCTCCTGCTCCTCCTTCAATAATACCTAGCTGCGGACATTGCCCAGGAAAAACACGCCCCCGGCCAAAACACGCCCCCCACCCCACACACACACACACACACACAAACACCCCCCGCCCCCCTGTTGAGCTACCCCCGAGCTCAACAACGGCGAACAACACAATTGAAAGACAATAAATAAAGAAATAGTATTAATGTAATTAAACAGACAGAACTCCAGGTTTCAATATGAATGAATAGCATCTTTCTGTAAAAAATAAAATAAAATAAAAACCAAACAAGGCGCTGTACACTAAAAATGTTAGTTAAGTAAACCGGCGTTATACAAACATGTCGAACACAGATAAAAGATAAAAAGGAAATACAACAAAATTCCCAAAAATAACAGCTAAAAATCAATAAGACACAGGGAGAATAAAAAAATTAGAAAAACATTTAAAAAAGAACCTCAATAGTACGGAAGTTGATGTTGTGGAGTCCATTTTTAAACAATGCAGATGTAAGTGATGGTCATAATTATGTGGTATACGCTAGGTTGAAGTAGTGAGTTTTCAGGCGTGATTTAAAAATGCTAGCTGTTGGTGCTAGCCTCACTAGCAGTGGTAATGCGTTCCACAGCTTCGGTGCACAGACAGAGAAAGCCCTCTCTCCACGGCTTCTTAAACGTGCATTCGGAACAGCTAGGAGGAGCTTAATAATAAAAAAAATCGTGAGTTTGCTGCTTATTAGATGAGGAGTCATAAACGGTCAAATAAACAGCCTATTCTCTGCATAGTCTCAGTTTATTTTGGCCAAAAGGCTTGCATGTAGCCCATTAAAAATTATATTAAAAAAATTTGCGTCCATGACGTCTTCCGCCACTGCCAATAATGCTTAATTTTATATAAAAGTGTTTCAGAAAAAAATTACGATTGCGCTATCTATCAAACTATGTCTTAAACGTTCAAATTTCTAGTACAAAATCTTCGCAAGTTGTAAAAATATAAATCTGTCTTTACCTGAACCGTCATTTCCATCTGTTGCAACACGCATGCGAGTTCTCGTCTTCGTACATGCACGCGTGTTTTGTACATAGGGGCGTGTTTTGCCTGGGCAATGTCCGCAGCTAGACCTTACTCCCTTTGCATCTATTTGGATCCATTGTTTCAAACCTGAATGAGCTGACTTTTGCACTTTTACCCATCCAGAAAGTTTCTGACTGGTGTGAGTTAAATTGTGACAGCTAGTGTTTCCCCTAGGAATTTTTCCAGCTGGGGGGGGGGGGGGGGGGGGGGGGGGGGGGGGGGGCTTGGGGAGAAATTATAACACGTCTCTAAAACCCTTTTCAGATAGACATTCTGGAATATGTGTGGACAATTCAATCCGGTTTTTAACCGGAACTGTGTTTTCAGTAAAGTAAAAATTTCTAGCGCAGAGAGGAGACGACCCATAGAAGCACTGATCTGATCTCATTTCAGAGAAAAATAGAACAGGTCAGATGCACCTAATAAATAAAATTATAACAAAGTCAGGAATCTGTTTCTTTGCTTCACTGTTCTGGTGCTGAAAATATCACTAATGCGGATCACAGGACAGGGTTCCTGTCTGCAACCGACCAATGAAAACACACCTTTGAGACGCCGCAGCAGCAAAACTCCGCCTCTCTGAGCTTTGGTTTCTATTTGTTTAAAATCCAGATTATAACCTACACACCAGTTTTTATTTGTGTTGGTAGCCCAGTTAAACCGGAGTTATACTGAAATAAATAAACCAGCTGTTTTAGACACACGTATGTCACACATCTGCTCTAACTACTACCACTAATGAGTTATTTATCCCGCTACGCTAGTGTTAAAGAGCACTCCTCTTGGTACAAAGCCACAAAAGACCATTTTAGCTGAACACAAGTCATTTTGTGTAGCATTTATTTCTGGTTTTAGGTGCCTACTTCCATCTGACTGCAGCGTTTGTGCTAACAGGTTACAAATTATAAGTTGTTTGATAAGCTATAATCGTGTCTTTATTAATAAAATGATGATTAAAGTGATTCTCTCGCATAAAAACAACCATCAGTGACATGTTTCAGACTGAAACCAACTACCGGACCATCTGGTTGTTGGTCTCACCGCGCTGCCACACTTCCCCGGGTCCTCCACTAGTTACACACTCATGTGTTTAGCACCAAAACACCACTGGTGTGAGAGGTTTGGAGCCAGAAAATGGCAACGTTTACTCTGCTAATGTGAGTTTCTGGTTCTGGCAGCGCCTCAGGAATCATGCCCTGGGGGGGAAGTTGCAGATTCACCGCAGCACCACGGCAAAAGGAGCGCCCGACTCCCATTGTCACATCACAGATAGACAGTAGTTCACTCAGGATGTTTTACAACTCCTCCCTTAAAGTAATCCTCATCATTTTTATTATTAAAATACTGAAACACAAAAGAAGGCCACTCACTTCAGGCACACGAATCTCTGCTGCGGCCTGCTGGTGGGAAGCAGTACTGCAACTATAATCTCTCGTAGACCAGCAGAGATTCAGATTAGGATGAACCGGTTCGGGACTGATTAAGCACATTCTGGAGACGTATCGTTTGTTTCTGTGGGCGATCACCAAGCAGGGAAGCATTTAAGCTCCACAGACGGCAGGTTTCCATTTTAACTAAAGTCTGATGTGATCATTTCGCTTTAAACTCAATTTGAAATGTTTTGTCTCAACCGCTCTAGCGGTCTTTGGACCTGCTTTGGTTAGAACTCTGACCTTACATCACAGCTCCTAATGTTTGCTGATCAGCGGCCTCATTTAAAACGCTGCTTATGTGCAAAACGGGCTCCGACAGCGGCGAAAGTCACTTTCTCACAAACTTCAGACCTGGCTTAAGAAGATTTTGGAGATGGGAACCTGGCAGCGCAGCCGTTGAGATGTTCAAACGCAGCATTTGGGACACATTTTCAGAAAAAGAAGAGACAAACCTCCCGAACTTCTCGGTGTTTCCCGTCTTGCCCTCCTGAATGACGTGGATGAAGTCGTGAGTGAGGATAAATGGAACGCGCTCTCGCTTGATGCCGAACTTTGACTTGAAGTTTCCGAGGATGTGACCAAAGTCTATGTGAAACAGCTGCAAGAAAACCAGGAGTGGAGTGAGGAAAAGTGGATCATCAGAGCTGAAGGTCTGAGCGCGGCCCCACCTGTCCCGTGCTGCGGACCATGATGTTGTCGCTGTGGCGGTCGCCGATGCCCAGGACGTAGGTGGCTACACAGTAACCTGCACATGATAGAGTGAACTCCTCAATGGCTCGGTCCAGAGCGTCACTGTGAGCCCGCAGGACAGATAAATGTGTTAACCGTCTTTCTGCTCCAGTGGTTCTGGGTTCTAGGAGGTTCCTGCTCTTACCCAGAGTTCCTCTCTTTGAGCCAGTTCAGCAGCGCGTCCTTGTTGAACGCAGCAGCTGCAGCCACATTGCTGCTGGTCAGCTGGATGTTGGCAATGGTGTCGGCTGAGGACACCACCTCAATCAGTCCTGCCCGGTCCCCTGTTGCTAGGCAACCATATGGAACAATTCTGCAAGAGGAAGAGGGAAAACAGCGAAACATTAGACCACGCCTACTTCAGGAGTAGCGTGAGCTGCTTTCGTCTGGAGCCCCTCTGAGTCAGAGGACTCCAATGTGCTTCACACTACAGTCATTCACACACTCGTGTGTGCTTTTAGAGTTCATGAGCAGAAGTTTAATCCAAACCAACAGGATGTATCTGCTTCTAAGGCTTTCTACAGGAGCCACTCTAGCGGATGACCTTCACATGCATCCATCAGTTCCAGCAGCGGTCATGTGCAACTCTGAACTGACTCAGGGATGTGCAAACTGGCCACAGATTTACCTGCTCAAGCTAAACAAACACCTGGGGCCTCATTAATCAAGCTAGCTTACACACATGTTGGACATGGAGAGCAGCTGCAGCGCTGCTGCTGAGGAGGATAACATTATGAACTCCTGCAGCATCATCACTCGTACCGCTTCGTGTTCACACAGAACACCCAGAACATTCATCTTAACCCTAGCTAGATCAGCGTTTTATCAACTGCATTAAACAGCACGACTCTGAGCGCTCATGTCAAAACAAGACCTACAGAAACTCATTCATGCGTTCATCTACAGCAGGCTGGACTATTGCAGTGGTCTCCTAACTGGTCTTCCCAAAAAGCTGTGAAGCAACTGCAGCTTAGGGTTAGGGTCTAGAGTCTTAACAAGAACCAAGAGAACCGAACCCATCACTCCTGCTCTCAGATCTCTACCCTGGGTACCAGTAAACTACACAATCCATTCCAAAGTGCTTCTACTAGTTTATGAACCTCTCAGTGGCACGGGGCCAGAATACATGTTAGATCTCCTTCAG